TGGCGTATGCCCGTCTTCATTAGCCCAGTATAGGAGCAGAACAGTAGGACTTTAAACCCCATTTCATTTCATTTCATTTCTTTGCAAGTGAAATGGGGCTGTCAGATAAGCCGCCCATATGAACTGTTTATGTTCATGTGTAGGCAATTGGCCTGTTATTAACATACACTGGTTACCTCTAATAAAAACAGCAGTGCATTTCCGCAGTTTTATATTGTTTTTGGATATCCCCTACTATTTTTGAAGAGTATAGCTTTGCGGAATTCATAAAGAAGAAAACTCCGTGCTTGAGACGGGTTTTGATTCTACTAGAAATTTCACAAATACGGTTAAATCTATTTTTTAGGGTTAGCTCAATTTTTGTCAAGGTCGTTGAGATTGAAATAAACTTCAACAAAAATCTCCATGAAAATGAAATAAAATTGAGACTAACGTCGTACTTTTCTGCACTGACCGGGACAATAAAAACAGCGACAATACGTCAACGGCCAGGGTTTTTTTTTTTCACGTATACGCCCACTACGTCGCCTTCTTTAACTGAATTCATGCAGACAGAACGTTTACCCCGTAATTCCCTTAATACAAATTCGGTTTCACGCAAAACAATTAAATTAGCGAACTGTTGTATAACAAGTTATAAATTTTCAAATCAAACACGCCATAATTGTATTTTCGAAAATTTAACCACCTGTAAATAATACGTCCAAATTTAAAACATTACTGACGTATTGATAATTAACCAAGTTATTAAACCTGTCTAATTATTAAATTAACATGATGTAGGTGGTAATTATCAACCCACTAATTGATGTATATTATTGGTGAATCTAAGTAAATACTATTATTATATTATAGTAATATTGATGAAAATTATAAGGTGATAATGTAATAATCAAACGTCATCATGTATTGGTGAAGAGGAACTACGTAAAGCAACTGAATCTCTAACTCAATGTCTTCCTTAAAATTAGAAAATTAACCGAGCATAATTGATTAGAAATTACGTTTAAAAGTTTAAAAAATTATAATGATTAACTCTGTGCTATGAGGGAAATTTGTCCGGACATTAGCACTACAGCCTACTCTTATATCGAATTCCAACTGCCAAGGGATCTTTTACGTGCACGCCAATGTATACACAGAACCTCAGTTTTTCGCCCCTCTGGCCTTCACCACGCCGAAAAAGGCAACGTACTTTATCGGCCAACGCAGTCTACTCTTATTATGGTTTCCGAATGTCAAGGGTTCCCTTAGGTGCATACCAATGGTTTTCGTCCCATCAGAAAGTGAAGGGGGGGGGGGGGTGAGAGAAATGGGGTTGAACGTCCACTCGACACAAACTATGTCATTACGGAACTAACATATGGTTCAATTTTATTTCAATAATTCGCTTGTGTATATGGGTCTTTGGAAGTGGGAGGAAACTGAAGGACCCGGAGTAAACCCACGAGGTTGGACAAGCCGACCTTACGTCTTGTCAAGTAAAACAGGGGAATCGAAACCACTCCAGTTGACTCCATAAAACAACGCACGCCCCCCCCCCCGCCCTCCAACTTCCCCCAGGTTCTAAAAACACATATTAATGAATATGAATGTATATAAACTTGTAATTTTTAATCAATTATGGTCGGTGAAATACGCAACCCGTCCCAATTGAACGGCAGTCGTTCAGACCCGTTGAGTCCATTCTGTTGAATTAGTGACAGTAGGACGTAAAACCCCAATTCAATTCATATCATTTCTTTTGAATTAGAGGATTTGATCTCTTAAGTACATTTGAATATCAATTTAAAAAATGACATTCGCGAGTATTATGTGTAAATACGTTGACTGATATAATAATATAATATCTCGAGCGCTTGAGATACTAAGTCGAGCGCCCGAGATAGTTATGTCGAGCGCTCAACCAATGTTTTAGGCTGTATAATTTTGTGCATAATTTGATGATAAACTTGCAGAATAAAAATATTCATTTGTTCGTTTTACAGCCCATCCAAAGCTGCAGTGACACACACACACAAATCAGCCTACGTATGTAAATGATAATAGAATTCTTGTTATTTTGACGAACTAAGACACGTAAGAATGGCCGAGTGAAATAGATATAAGGAACCAAAGTTAGAATTGATCAATATGAATTCTATCTGCGCGAACCTGTTTTGTTAGCAAAGTGCTTTGTGGGTTATATGTTTTGAAAATTACTAATATTCAACCTTTAAAGGGGGGAGGGGGTGATGGTCGAATCATCATCATAAGGCCTGTCATTGAGTCAACTGGCGTGGTTTCGAATCCCCGGTTATACATGACAAGAAGTAGGGTTGCCTATCCAACCTAGTGGGTTTTCTCCGGGTCCTCCGGTTTCCTGCCACTGCTAAAGATCCCTATGCACAAACGAATTATTGAAATAAAATTAAACCATATGTTAGTTCCGAAATGACCTGGTTTGTGTCATGTGGACGTTAAACCCCATTTAACTATCTTCCTCTTTAACCCTTACAGTCAGGGCATTAGAACCACTATTGTTTTTAATATGGCGGCCATCCGGGACAGAGATCTATACTCCAAGTTCTCCGAGTGCAGAATAACGGATGTCCTGATTAAAATATTGTTGATAAAAATATATTTCGTCGCGTTTCTGACGAACCGACGAATCTGATACATTTAAGTATTGAGAATTATGTGTTTGAAATTTCCATTCTGTTGTTATATCTGTAGACATCAAATTATAACATTCATTTGTGATTTAATATTTCATACATATACATCAGGACACGGAACGTCATTTACATAAATTTACATAAATTTACATAAATGTTATCAGTGAGTTAGACCAGGCCTCGAGTTCACAAAGCATTGCCAGAGTTAAGTTAAGAATTTACTCAACTTTCAATCACTGTTTATGAAACACAAAACTTTGCACCTAGTATCTTATTGATGTATTTGATACATTAAAACAACAAAAGTTTTATAAAGGGCTATATTTTAGTTAAAATAAGGCGAACAATTTTGAGTCAATTATTAACTTAATCTGGGAATGCTTTGTGAACTCAAGACTTGGAGGTCCCATGTTCGATCCCGGCGTTGGTTATGAAAGTTCAACGAGTTTTTCCGGCGTGGTTCCTCTTGTCAGTGTTGCAGGACAGAAGGCTTGACAAGAAACAACGTATGGTCGTTAATTATTAAGTCTTATTACGTTACATCACTCTGATATATACTCAACAATACGAGTTAACACTGATGAGGTCATCTTGAGACTGGGTAATAGTAAAATTATAATTAAAGATGTTAGATGAGCTGTGATTCCATAACAATCTAATTATATTCTATAGCTAATGAAGCAATCTAAATCTCTGTCAAACTCTGTAATTTACTTTAACTCGAATTGTCCAGTGGCCAATTACACTTGATCGAAACTATTCAGCCATTTTCTCAAGTCTTCAATTTGTAACAATTTGGTGACAAGGGCCATGTGTGGGATAGTTTCTAAGTCTTTAGTTCAATCTTTTGTTCTGTGGAAATAAATTGCCGTGGATAAATGATATTATTTGCTGGTTATTAGAGACTATTATTGTCTATTATCCAGCGATTTCTTACAACACTACTCAAGAGTAATGAAGTCAAAAGGAGGGAGGGAGGGGGTCGAACTCTAATTATTCTAGCTACCTAATCCCCCCAACCCATTCTTCATAACCCATTCTTTTCTCCTTCGTCTCTATTTCGTTTAATTCTTTCTCTTTCTTCTCCGGATTCTGTATCATAATTCAGACGCGAACAATAACACAGCAGGTTGCCCTCTGTTTAATTAACTCCGCCCTAACCATTTACTCAATTTGACGAACAAAATTAAGTGTTTTCGCCAACTAATGGCAGGCTTTGTAAGTAGCAAGTTGGATCAATGTGGCTTAATCTATCGACCAATGAGATCGTTGGTTACATGTGTGATTGTGGCCGCATGCCTCGCTGTGTAAACAAACACAAGATTAGGAGGATTTCAACTGGAGTGCTAATTACATTAACAAAGTATTTGATGATTAGAATATGACAGGAGCACGAGAACAGTAGGCGATCAACAATCGCTGGCTATATTAGACAAGTTCGCTGAGATATCAAATCATTAGATATCACAATCGTTTACAGGGTAACATCATCACAAACACTTCACCTAACTCGTATAATATATTTAGTTTTAGGAATTTAGTCATCAGGAACTATTTTACTGGTATACTGATCTGGAGGAGGTATCAAGAACAACACTAACTATTAATATATCACAGGAGCTTCACTTAACCCAAAGGGGATTTTGGAGGAGTATTTTGAGGATTTATATATACATGATGGAGGGTAACATGAGGAACCAACAGGAAGGGGGATATTTCAGCAGTAGTCTACCCAGTAAAAGGATCAAATCGTACAATATTGATAGTATTTTAGGGACTGATTCGACCCCTACTCGTGTTCAAGAAGATGACAGATTATCTTCCCCAGAAATATGTTCACAAGGTAAGTCATAAATCATAAAGGTTATCTTCTTTTTTTTTTAATTTCCATATCAGTTTAAATTTCTAAAATGTTGATTTTACGATTCTTTCGCAAAAGGAATAATTTTATTTGCATAACTGTGTAAAATATAGAAACGTTGATATTTAGACCCCTTCTCAAAAGGGATAATTTTATTTTGCATAAATGTGTAAAATTCCTGAAACGTAATTATAACAATTGGCTCTTTCTCCAAAGAGATAATTTTATTTTTTCATAACAGTCTAAAATTCAGAAATTAATTATTACGATTGGTTCTCTAAAGGAATTTGACGGATTAGCAATTACGATTTCCCTTTTCATAATTTAATCCATTTACAAACTTGTTTCCATTAAACGATGACTTAAAATTGTTGTTTATCATTTTTGCCTATCATAATAATTTTCTCACGAGGCATCAAGACGATAAAAAGGTCACTTTAATAAATTAAATTCTTATTTTTCTTTTTAAAGGTTCACCAAGAATGCAGTCTTTTGAATCAGGTGGTCGCCGTGATTCGGTTGAAGGAGGGGTGATTTCTGGCGAAGATGAGGAGTTGGGACGTGGGGATCTATCCGCTACGTCCGAAGAAGATGGAGGAGGCAAACATCGTAAGATCCGTCGGAGTCGGACAACATTTACGACCTACCAATTGCATCAGTTAGAACGAGCTTTTGAGAAGACCCAGTATCCCGATGTGTTTACGAGGGAAGAATTGGCTTTGAGATTAGATTTAAGTGAAGCCAGAGTTCAGGTTAGTTGAAAAATTTAAAAATATGCTAATGGTTAAATTGGCTGATTGTCAGTTGTTCTCGGCTTTTTTTTACGTTAATTCACGTTAAATTGATAAAAAATAAAACAAAAATTATCAACGGAAGACAATTTCCCGATTTTGATACAAACGAGAAGGATGAGAACAGTGGTGTGGTAAACACCATTTCATTTCATCGGTTTTAACAGATTTTACTCAACCAAGGACAGGTGGTACTGGTTTTTTAATATCACCTGCGGATGATATGTCGAATATTGTCAATCTCTGATTGCATCATTCATTATAGAGATCGCAATTTGCAAGAGATTAACTAATCCTTCAAAACGCAACCAGCGACTTAAATAACCTGTCAGAATTAGATATATTTTTTACATGAAATAATATCTTACTAAATTTTGGTTCCATGTTTTGGAATTAAAACGTTTTTATGGATTCGAATTATAGTTAAGAGTTATCATCTTTTTTTTTACAAATCTCTTATCACCAAATCATTTTCCCCCTTCCATATAATATATCCATAAATATATTAATTAAATAAAATCACTTCCACATAAACATATCAATTTACAGAAACTTAAAAAAAAACCGCAATAAACTGTATAATTTTAAAGGATTCGCGGTAACCACATAAGTATAAACATATCCATAAATATTGATTAAATAAAACTTTAAAAAGGGAATAATTTATAGAATTTTAGAAAGGATTCAGAAATTACAATATTATATTGACTGATTTTATTGGCACTGGAAACTATAAATCAGATTTAATCCGAGCTGTTTTATAAAACATTAAATACGGTATCGTTGTGTAATTTCGTCTTTTTGTACTAAAATTGGATTTAAATGAATAAAAAAAACCCCGGAGAGCTGAGAAAACAGATATTACAAAATTAAACTCAGATTCCTGGACATAAAATTGAAACGAAACAAGAAATAAAACCGGGTTTAACGTCCTACCTTAGAAACGAAACAAAAATAAGAGAAACTAGAATAGTAATCACCATTAATTGTAATAGACATTACGTAGATAAATTACCTAAATATATGTATATTTATTCTATAAATACATGCCATTGGTTGTATTCAATGACTTGGACACGTACTACTTTTGTCCAGAATGACGTCACTTTCAGAATTACGTCAAACTGTAATATTTATCAGCTGGTTTTTTTTTTTTTTTTTTTTTTTTAACGAAAGATTAATATAAATCTGTATTTTGGAATTATATAAATAGCGTCTTATAGTCCACTTATAGTCAGGCGATTTTCTTTTAAATCAAGTTTATAACTGAATAATGGTATGTACGCGTAAATAAACAACTGGAAATTAATTTCATGCCTCGGTTTATTACGGTATTTATTATAAATAAATAATTTAGACTTCTTGACATTTTGTAATATTGCATGCTGTATTTTTTTTTATATCTATATACCCAATATTTCAGTAAAAAAAATCATGATGAAGTAATTAAATACAATTTTATTCTTAATAAAAAAAAATGAAAAAAAATCCTACTTTATTGAATAATTGTTTCATACGTAATGAACAACTGGAAGCGGAGGCGTACAGGTACATGATAATTGACAAAATATATAACTAGCAAAAAGGTGTTAATTAATTCTTAAAACGTCACAACTTATTGGATTTCCCCCTAACTTTAATCAGAATATTCTAATTTTACCAACTGTTTCCATTTTTGACCTTAGTGACGTCACATTTGTCTGCGTATCAATTAAGGTTTTTGATTTTATAAAAGGGTGGTTAATTGAATTGTAAATGAATATTAAACACAGGAAATACGTATATTGTATATAATTATACAATATACTTATGGAAAGGATATGTTGACATAATTACTTGCATTAATTAAAAAAAAACATTGAAGTGTGTCCGGTGACCTTTAAGCCAGGATTAAGCCGTGAATAAGATAATGTCCGCAAAAAAGCAAATCACGATCACCGGCACAAGAAATGGATATCAAGCTTTATGTTACGAGAAACATTCCAAAGATGATGGGGTTTAACGTCCACTCGACACAAACTAGGTCATTTCGGTACTAACATATGGTTCAATTTTATTTCGATAATTCGCTTGCTCGTAGGGGTCTTTAGCAGTGGGAGGAAACCCACGAGGTTCGACAGGCGACCCTACTCGAAACCCCCGCAAGTTGACTCAATGACAGACCTTATGATACAGCGCGCACGTGCTAAGCATTCGGCCATCCACCTCCTCCCCCTTTCCTTTGTAAATAATATAACGGAACATAATATTGAATTAGTATTCATAAATGGTGCATTTTATAACGATACTAACATAATTCAATAATAACGTTCATATTAACATATCGTAAATAAAATTTATGTCAAATTATTATTGCGGAATGTTTGAAAAAACAAAAACAGCGGTTAAAGCTAAACTCGCACTTAACCGACAGAGGATTAGATGTCTGAATTTAATTAAAGAAATCCGTGTGAAAAATAACAGAAAACTTGTTTATCTGAAGCAAATTCTATCGAAATATTTCGGGTCTCTAAGTCTTGATCGAATTAAGCTAATAGAGCAACGGTTTAAAATCGTTAATGGATGTGGGGAATATTGACGGGGAGTCTCCGGATTAGTTTTTGTACCATTTGGACATAACAGTTTGTTCTCACACGTTCTCAAACGACTTCTCCTAAATCATTTGTTCTTCAAACAGACTTTTTACTCTTTAGTTTCATCGTGTATTGACCGGCTGGCGATTTTGGTCAATCGGTGATTCAAAGAGCCACAATGGACGAACGACTGCTGGGTTGCATGTAAGACAATGGTCGTTACAAACTGTCATTGACTTGTCTAGCGACCATGTTGTATTCTTAGATACAACTGAATTAAACCTATCCGCTTGTTTCATTCCCGATAATTACGTTCAATACCTCGATTGCCTGATATAGCCATTAAAACTGATCATTGTGGATATTATAAACGATTAAGTTAAACTTTTAGCTATTAGTGTAAACGAAAAAAAAACTATCGGGAAGATATTTTTTTGTGTAAACGATAAATGTTTTGTAGGAAGACATTTTGTTGTGACTGAAGAATTAACCACCCAGATTTTCTGTTTAACGAAAAAAAATCTGTCGTAGAAAGATATTGTTTTGTAACTGACGAATTAGCCACACAAATATTTAACAAGATTTTTAAATGTTTTCTGATGTACGCCAAACTCGTCGCCATTTGTGGAAAGGAAAAACACTCTTGTAGGAAGATATTTTTTTCTTTTTTGACTGACGAATTAACCATCAATTTGCCATTCGCATAAATGACAAAAAAATATAGTAGAAATTAACCACAAAATATTTAACAAGAATTATAAATGTTTTCTGAAGTAAACAGTTTACGATTATTTATTAAATTATGTAAAATGAGAGTTCAGTTTATTTAATTTTCTTATCTTTTTTTTCTAATTTTAGGTTTGGTTTCAAAACCGCCGTGCTAAATGGAGGAAACGAGAGAAAGCCATGGGACGCGAAAGTCCTAATTTCTTACACATGGAACAAGTGGGAGAGTTACCCTCCCCCATGAGTTTGAATCCCGCCATGGACCCATACTGGACGAACAGATACACAAACTTAACAGGCGTTAATCCTTTACTGGCATTCCAACATGGCGGTAATCTGCCGCCACCACACTACATGCAGGGCAAGATGCCATTTGCTGGACTATTATCAAATTATATGATGGCTTCTAATGGCTTGGTTTTACCCGGTATGATCCTGGGAGCCAATATGGCGGCACTTCCGGGTGGACCGTTAAACCTCGCTGGGCCACGTTTACCTATAAATTGCGAGAGTTTAGATATGAGAAAATCGAGTATTGATGCTTTACGACTAAAGGCCAAGGAACATTCGATGAATTCGTCACCCATGGAATTATTACAATACAGTGGACATTCCAACAAATCAGAGTCCCCATAAACATTGATTTATCGTCTTATGACTTGAGGAAAAAGATTAAGGTTTGGTTTCAATCCAACCCGAATGCCGTGAAGAAAGAAATCCGGAACGGATGCTGCGTGGTAGTGCGAGTGACCGAGTGAACGATCATCCCTGTATCCCTTATAAAATGTAGGAACAGTTCCACTACAAAGAAATTAACGCGAACAAAGAATTAATGCGCTGAATGGCGCATTTCTTTTTGTTTCTTGTAAATTTAAAGACCCTTACGTTACAAATATTTAATTTGTTGTGAGAAAAAGATTCTTGAAGATATTGTTACTCTATACGAAAGTGCATTTTTGCTCTCCGTTCGTTTTGTTTTTCAATTGTTTCTTCTTTTTTTTGTGTGTGTCAATAATTTTGTGAGGTATTTTGGGATGTAGGAATACACCCCATGCACACCCCTATCCCCTCCCACCTCTCCCCTGGTACTTCTATAGTGCGTAATTTGTTTGTAAATGTTATTTATAATTAAAACAATTTTATGAAAGATGAATTTGTTATTTTCAATTTTAATTCCTTGATTGTGTGAAAGATGAATGATTAGTCAATATTTAAGATTATTTGCTGACAGATCTGCCACACTGTAATTTAAATTTCTATGGTTACATATGCAATGGGCTTTGGGTACATTTTGACCGTACACCGGCGTTTCCGCCTACGCTTATTCGATTTCCAACTATCAAGTATGTAGGCCGACGTCTCATCCTAACGACTAAGGACAATTTTCTATCAACCTCGCAGGTGCCACTAAGGCTGAGAAATTCTCGGCACACGCATGGATTCGAACCTGGACATTCTAGCCGAAAATCCATTGTCCTTAAAAAGTGATCCATTATCCTGGAATGTGGTGTAGTTTTCTATTAGTTTTTAATTCGACGCCATTATTAGGCTAGTTTGTTTCGATTATGCTTATTGCACTAATGTTTATAGAATTGACTACGTCAGTTCCGGTATGTCATGGCTACAATACAATGGTTTCGTACACTGTGTAGAGTGTTACGATTGTAGGCTACCCACATCAGTGTTCTGCCTGGCTAACACTATCACTCGCGTCGTCCACCTCAGCCCACTTCCCCGCGTTCCAGATCCAAATTTCGAGATCGAGTAGCTGTTAGCACTCTCTACTTCGTATAGTTGGCCTATATTTTTATTCCTAAATCGGCAGATTAGAACCGCGTTACAAAGCAGTATATGTACTTATTTTGAATATGGCGGTCGTTAATAAAAACAACTTAATTTTTTATGTGACATCCGGAACGTGCATATAGACGACATGGACCAACAAAACTGAATATCTATAGAGGGAGAGAAATGAGGTTTAACGTCCACTCGACACAAACTAGGTCATTTCGGGACTAACATATGGTTCAATTTTATTTCAATAATTAGCTTCCGCATAGGGGTGTTTAGCAGTGGGAGGAAACCGGAGGACCCGGAGAAAAACCATGAGGTAGGACGAATATCTATGTAATAAAATTACATAGGGAATCTGTTTAACCTTTTCTGTCTGGTCTATGACCAACAACATTGTCCTTTAAAAGGGTCGCCTGTCTAACCTCTTGGGTTTTCTCGGAGTCCCCTGGTTTCCCCTCACATCTAAAGACTCATACGCCCAAAAACGAATTATTGAAATAAAAAATTGAAGATGTTAGTCCCGAAAAGACCTGACCCCAAGTTCATAAAGAATTCTCAGGCTTAAGTTAAGAATTTACTCAACTTTCAATCACTGTTTATAAGAAATATCTTTGATCCAGAAACACAAAACTTTTAACATAGTTTCTTATTGATGTATTTGATACATTAAATGAAATGAAATGAAATGAAATGGAGTTTAACGTCCTACTGTTCTGCTCCTAACCTGGGCTAATGAAGACGGGCATACGCCATACAGTGTGCTATGAGGGACATTTTGCCCGGACAGCGGCACTACGGCCTACTCTTATATCGAATTCCAACTGCCAAGGGATCTTTTACGTGCACGCCAATGTGTACACGGGACCTCGGTTTTTCTTCCCATCCGAACGACTAGACAGCTTTCCTTGTCAGCCCCTCCGTCCTGCATCACTGACAAGGGAGAACCACGCCGGAAAATCAGGATGAACTTTCTCGGCCAATGCAGGGATCGAACACCCGACCTCCAGGCTAGCGAGCTAGCGTCTTACCCACTTAGCCACGTGATCCCCTTGATACATTAAAACAACAAAAGTTTTATAAAGGGCTATATTTTAGTTAAAATAAGGCGAACAATTTTGAGTAAATTTTGTAACTGAAGCCTGAGAATGTTTTGTGAACTCGGGGTCATGGTTTATTTCAAGTGGACGTTAAACCCCACTTCTCTCTACTTTTAACATTGATGTTTCAAGAATTCCAACTGGGCATAGGTGGGTTTGGCTGGCTGAATGGTTAGCGCGTGTGCGTTGAATCATAAGGTCTGTCATTGAGTTAACGGGCGTGGTTTCGATTCCCCGGTTGTACATGACAAGTAGTTGGGTCGCTTGTCTAACCTCGTGGGTCTTCACCATACAGTGAGTGTGCTATGAGGTTAATTTCGCTACGGTCTACGCTTATTTCGAATTTCAATTGTCCGGGGTTCCTTAACGTGCATGTCAATGTTAAGATACCGTCCTTGACAGGCCCCAGATCCTGCACCACTGACAAGGGGGAACCATGCCAACACTGGGATCGAGAACGGGACCTCCAGATTAGCGCACCAACGTCTTACTCGTCCGACGTCCTGTGTACACGTTGGCGTTCACCCAAAAGAACCCTTGACAAAATAGGTCGTAGCGCCGCTGTCAGTGAAACATTTCTTTCATAGCAGACTGTATGGCATACGCCCGTCTTCATTAGCCCAGTCGGTACAGAACAGTAGGACGTTAAACCCCATTTCATTTCACCTGAGGTATTTAAATGAAACTTGTCCATATCTATGTGATTAATTTTATCGAACATCTGTCTATAATATTATTAGAAAGAATATTAAGTTATATCATATACGTAATGTAACGGTAGCGTAACAACTTTATTCGTCATCACATCAAATTAACAAACCCACAGAAAGCCAATAAATTGGCCTAACAAGTCGCTAATTAATCTTTGACATCCACAGCACATTCTCATGTTCGGATAATTTATTTGATGTGTTCATTGACTTCTGATAATCGCCATAATCAACCCCCTTTCACTTCTTTTAAGGGTTTTTTTCTAGCTCGCCGCCAAATGCCTCGTTAATATTGCCGACGAACAAAGAGATAATAGTTTGTAACAAGCAAGTAATGAGCGTCCTATTGTTAACCGTTAAGTTAAGAGTTTGTCGTCCAACCCGCCATCTTTGTAATCAATTTTGTTTAAATATCTGCGAAATTGTGAACGTTATTAAATTATCGAGGGTTTTTCAGCCTTCCAGGCAAATGGTTAGTTGCTTATTTATTTCACATAATAGAGAAGGAAAATCAATGATTCGTTCTTAAAGCTGCTTGGCTTCGGCTTGTTATTAGTTTATATAAATTTGTAAATAGTAGTATTAATATTATAAAATGTGGGAATTACCGCGATTCAATAACACTAACTAGAAGATGAGTCGAGATGCTCACAGATCAAATTAACAACGCATAATGACAGGCAACTGTTTCACCTTTTAAACTCGAGTTAGACATGTTTACTGAGGAGATTCGAGACTATAAATCAGCTTCCTATATTTATACACGATCATTTCTTTGGAATCAGAACTTGTCGTCAATTGGTTTTTAATGACGCTAGAATTATGGTTTAGATCTAGATTTGTAATTCCCCACCCCCCTTTTTTCTATTGAATTTTGGTTGAAATGAGACGTGAAAATTTGATATATCACGAATTAATTTTGTGATTTTTTTCTTCAAAACGGTGTCGACCTGGTATTAATGGCGATAGAATAATAGTTTGGATTTTGACTTGTAATTCGAAAATTTGATATATCAAGAATTGATTTTTGTAATTTATTTTTTTTTTGGGGGGGGGGGCGGTGCGGGGGGTAGAACTATGGTTTGGATCTAGATTTCTTTCTAGTGAATCCAGTTTTACAAGAGACGTGAAAATTGATATATCACGAATTAACTTTGTGTGGGTGTTTTTTTTTGGTTTTTTTTTTAAAGGGAACGTTGTGTAAAAGGCAGTAATTGCCTATGATAAGGAATTTCCTAGCACTAAAACGTTGGCATAAACCAAGCCTTAGCTGTTGGAATTTCCTCCCTCATAGTACATCGGTCATAGTCCTATTAATCGAAATTTCAATTATCGTTAATTTTGCCGCTATTTTATGAAATTCATTTAAATTTTGGATATTATGTGTAGAAATGGCATTTCTAGAACTATGAAAGCCTCTAACTACCATTTATAATTTCTACTTTTCGCCCCTCAAAACACGAAAGCCGAAAAGTCGAAAAGTAGAAGTTACGACAAAATGTGAGGCGACAACACGCTATACATGCCAAAATCAACTCGAAAATAGGAAATTAAGAAATAACACACCACGATAATAGCGCCCCTCGTTGTTTTCCTAATTTCTAATTTTCGACTTGCATTTTGGCTTGTATACCGTCTTGTCAACTTTCGACTTAGTCATATTTTTATATTTATTGATGTCAGTAAGAAGGCGCCAACACGCATACCAAGCCAAAATGCAACTCGAAAAGTAGAAATTAGGAAATTAACACACCGCGCTATTAGCGACCTATTATTTTGGCTTGCTGTCGTACTGTCGACTTTTCGAGTTTCGCCTCGGAAATTGTTGTAGTCTCCATTTTCCAGGTAGCATTTAAATACGTGCAATCTGGGCTCACACTGTCTTTGCTTGTCGGTGGTTAGTAGGACCCTAGCATATTGCATGACGTAATATGTCCTTCTTCATTAGCCCAGTTGGTGCAACCCTAACGCTAAACCCCATTTCATTTTATATCACATAGCAATCAAATGAACAGAATATGTAATGGATTTTAAGTCTTGGATATTTTGAGAACGACCAATATCTTGTTCATCTATATGATCACGCTTGGCAATAATGACAGGGTCAAAACGTTTGACCAGACAGCTAGTTTTTGTTGTTCTTAGTACTTAAGGAATCCTCGGTTGTACGTGACAAGGAGTAGGGTCGCCTGTCCAACCTCGTGGGTTTTCTCCGGGTCCTCCGGTTTCCTCCCACTGCTAAAGACCCTACGCGCAAGCGAATTATTGAAATAAATTAAAACCATGTTAGTACCGAAATGACCTATTTTGTGTCGAGTGGACGTTAAACCCGCTCTCTCTCTCTCTCTCTCTCTCTCTCTCTCTCTCT